GGGGGGTCGGGGGGATTCTGCCCCCTCCGGGTCACCCCCATTTCCCCTGGGTCCTCCTCAGATCGACCTGGACCCAAAAACCCTCCCTGTGACCTGCCCGGGCCAGGCAAGGGGGCTCCTCTCACCCCTGCTGCTCCGGGGGGGTCGGGGGGATTCTGCCCCCTCCGGGTCACCCCCATTTCCCCTGGGTCCTCCTCAGATCGACCTGGACCCAAAAACCCTCCCTGTGACCTGCCCGGGCCAGGCAAGGGGGCTCCTCTCACCCCTGCTGCTCCAGGCAGTTTTAAAATGATTTTAAATGTTTGCATTTATTAATTGATATTTTTTTTTACCTCTACGTTTATTTTATTGCATTATTTCTTTGCTTTTAATTTCATTGTTTGCTTTTTATTTTTGCCTCTTTTTAATTTTTTGCCATGTTTTTTGTTTTGTTTTTGGGTTTTTTTTGCCTTTAACCTTTTTTTTTGCCTTTTTAACCTTTTATTTTGCCTTTTTTAATTTTTTTGCCTCTTTTTTACCCTTTTTTTCCCCCTTCATTTCATTTTTCACATGATCAACACTCCACACGATTTATGTTTCAGAATAATTTTAATTTTCTTGCCTTTTTTTTTAAGATTATCTTTGCTTTCCCTTTCTGCAAGGAGCTGGTGCCACCCCCAGGCCTTCAGCCCCAGCTGGGCTCTGCTCCACACTCTCCTCCTCCTTTATCTCCATTGGAAAGTTAAGGCTGGGAAGTTCTTGGCCAGGTCCTGCCCCTGGAGGCACCTCCTTCCATGTCCTGAACACCAGAAAACCCCCTGGAAATGATGGTGTGACCCATGGGTTGGGTGCTCAGCATCTCATGGGATCCCCCTTTCTCCCCCTTCTGTGGCCAGTCCTGGTGATGGGCCCCATCCTTCCTCATCCCTGATGATGATGGGTTTGTTGGAGATGAGCAGGCAGATGGGGACCACAGGCTGGCACAGCCCTTGCCTTTCCTCCTCCTCTTCTTCCTCCTCCTCTTCCTCCTTCTCCTCACCAGTTGGGTGGCTGGAGCCACTGGAGCTGCCAGGTGGTGGAAATTCCACTGGGCTCAGCAGCTCTTGCCTGCGGTAGGTGAATGGCAGCTCTGCTGGACATGCCACCACTGGACATGCCACTGCTGGTTCCTCAGCCACCAGGCTGGGCTGTGGGGTGCTGGGCCTGGTGCTGGGCTTGGTGCTGGGATCCACTGGAGTCTCCTTGCTGGGATTCAGCTGCACCAGCAGCTCAGCTGTGCTGAACCTCTCCGAAGGCTCCAGGAGGCCCAGCCAGGGCTGCCCCTGAGGGTCAGAAGAATTTAGGGTGGGATCACCCTGTGCCATGAGCATGTGCCAGGGTGCTGGATCTGGCCCCTCCTGTACCTTGTGTCTCACCTGGCTGGTGTCACCGGTGGAGAACTGGATGGCTTTGCTGCCCATGGGCTTGGGCACGGGTGGGAAGAGGAGGCGGTGAGCCCTGGGGGGGGGGTGGTTGGTGAGGGAGGGGGGTTAATTGGGGTGAGTGGGAGGCTGGGGTGGCCACCATCAGTGTCACTGTCACCTCTTTTTGCTCAGCTGGTAAACGGCAACCACAGTGGAGAGGGCAAGTGGGACACCCACATACTTTAGGTGGGGTTCCCACGCAGCTCCCTGACGATGGGTATGGCTGGGTGATGGCATTTCTGTCCCCAGTGCCCCACCTAGGACATGGGAGCCATTCTGGGCTGAGGGAGACCACCCCGAGGGGTAGGGCAGGGATGGGATGGGGTCTCTGGCTGTTACCCAGTGCCTTGGTCTGGAAGTGCCACCAGGGATGGCAGGTCCCCCTGCTCTCTGCTGTCACCTCCCAGACGCCCACCCTGTAGGCTGTGTCAGGCCGTAGGTTTCGGAGGGTGTAGTGTGACACCCCAGAGTCCACCTCATCATCTGGGCAAATGATAATGAGCAGCTGGTAGCCTGCCCTCCTCCTGCCCTCTTCCTCCTGCCCTCTTCCTCCTGCCCTCTTCCTCCTGCCCTCTTCCTCCTGCCCTCCTCCTCCTGCCCTCCTCCTCCTGCCCTCCTCCTCCTGCCCTCCTCCTCCTGCCC